TCAGGTGGTTCCACGCTCATCAGGGGACATTAGCGACTTGGCCTGACGCGTCGCTGCCACACGCCGCTCGCGCAAGACTGGGACTCACTTGTAACGCCCCTGTAACACGACTCTGGAATGGCCCGGCACGCCTACGTCACGAGGATGAGCTAGACTGACGCGTCACGTTCGTCCAGGGTCAAAGCGTCACAAAACTGATGGAATGAATCCGTTCTCGTCCAGTCAGAACTTAAACGTTTTCGCGGCAGATGAGTACTGAGATCTTAGTGTGCCCAGGACTGCATGGGATAACCCTGGTTAGATCGAAGGAAGGAATGGGTCGCCGCTTGATTATAGATGTACCAGGGTAGTGGGATGGCCGACGGGGAAAGAAGAAACAGCCTTCATCAAGGGGAGAGACGATCAAGAGGAAATCTGAGTAGTAAATGGAGAAAAATGGTAAAGACAATAGAAACTGGAGGAAATCGTAAAAGAGTGAGTGAGGAGAGAAGCCATAAAGAAGAGATGAACATATAATAAACGATGAATACGAGAAATCCATGTGAGATTATAACAGGACCGAAAAGACCAACAAATATAATGAAACGAAGGAGACTGGAGAAGGCACGTAGACGATTTGAAGTGAGGGGGGAAGTGGTATCTCAAACGAAAATTGACTTTATACTGTATTCAAATACAGTAACAAAATTACTCCCCCCCCCCCCCCCACACACACACAGGATGCCGCAGGTTAGCCGTCACGACCGCCAGCAGGAGAGGCCTATCCTCACGGAGGTAGTGTGTAATCAGCCTCAGGTGGATCTGTATTCATACCACTGTGTTCTTCCCAAAATCCAAGACTGCAATACTCTTAACCACCTGCGGGGAAGCCGATGCAACGAGAAAGCCTACAATGAGGTAAGAAACAAGCAAAGAGCGCATTGCGTGTGGCGGCGTCTCACATACCTGAGCTATGCGTGTCAGCCCTCATGAGCCCACACTTAATTATAGATCCGCATCTCTGATATTTAAAGGAGAAATCTTGAATTTATCCCCTATATGGACCAGCCGGCTTTATGGTTAGCTTGGGATTTACGACGTGTTCATCGTGGTTAAAAAATGGCCACGTCAACGGAAACAAGCCTTGAAAAATCGTGGAGACTCGCACTAAGAAATTGTTTAAATGAATCATCTAAAAAACGACGAAGGGAAAAGCTGTTGTAGTCAAGGTCCGTGTGCTCCGTGTAGATATTTTCACTGAGCTTAAAAGTACTATCCTAGTTTAGTGGCCGACGAGCCTGGGTTCTGTAACTAGTAATTACGCGTCATTACTTCCCACTAGGACTGTACTACCTACACCCACCACTACACAGCGCTATACACACATTGGTACCAAGTATACTGCAGGAATCTCTGTCTGTATCCTTGTTTATGCAATGTATTGTTAACAAGACTTGATCCGAAAGTCCAATAACAAAAAAATACTTTTGAAGTACATACAGAACTTGAAAGTCACTGGCATAATTTGTAAATGTACTGACGAAATGATCTCCAGAGCGACAGTTTAAATAAATAGCTTCGGCAAGGAAGGAAGGGGTTATATAAGGGCAAGAGCGAGGCGAGAGGCGTAATGATGGTTGCATGACACGATTCGATATAAGAACGAAGTGAAGCTGAAGCCACTCGACTCACCCACAACATATTCCATAATAATCGGGCTGCTTGTCTATACATGGACGTCACTGAACTAGTGTTCGCACAGCCTTTCCAAGAATTATCCTCACCTGAAATAAAATTTGTATTTAGGTCTAATTATCTAATGTGACAGAGATTAATGCCAGGCGGATGAGGGTTAAATAGGGTTAACAAAGCGTCGGTCGGCTGAGTGAAGTTTTAGCGATCTCGAGAGGAAAGCTGCTCTCGATCAGGCGCCTCGTTACAGACTGCCGGGAAAGCGATCGAAAACTACGGAT